TAATGGAAAAATAAAATAAAAATGATGGAATATACAATTAATATAAAAATGATTAATTGTTATTTAAACAATATTTCTAAACACATCACTTGAATTTGATAACCATTTTACTTTACCAATATCTTTATCCAAATAAACTTGATTGGTAGCAAACAGTTTTAATGCCTTTGGAAAAGCAATGTGTTCAACCTTCTTAATTTTTTCAATGAGACTTTCTTCTGTTTCATCTACACTTATGTTCACACTTTCTTGTACTAAGATTGCTCCTGCATCAATTTCTAACTAAAAATTTCATTCAGAAATAAGTTTATATAAAAAAAAAAATAATAATAATAATAATAAAAAAAAAATGTTTACTTCTACAAAATGGACTGTACAGCCAGCAACTCTAACGCCAGATTCAAGGGCTTGCCTTTGAGGATAAAGACCTTTGAATAAAGGTAAAAGTGAAGGGTGTATGTTTAATAGTCTACCTCTCCATTTGTTCACAAAGTTATTTGTTAACACGCGCATGAAACCAGCTAAACAAACAACATCTACTTGTGTTTGATCTAATGCTTTCAACATTTCATCTTCAAATTCTTCACGGGTATTAAACTTAGTATGATCTATTTCCTAAACAAATAAATATAAATTAATATCATAAATAAAATTAAAGTTWTAGACGTATTACCAAAGCCAATATACCAGCACGCCTGGCACGTTTTAGTCCTTCAACTTCTGGTCTATTAGAAATTACTAAAACAATTTCAGACATCATAGATGGGTCATCAGTAGTAGCATCAATCAACGACTACATTCAAAAAAACACACACACAAATTATTAAGAAAGAATTTTTGAATTATTTATCATTATAAAWAATAATTGTTTGGATTATAGTTTACCTGCAAATTAGTACCAGATCCTGAAATAAGAACAGCTACACGCATTTTTGGATGCATTCTAGATGCCACATAGGTCTGAATATGAGGACGCATCAAAGGCTCCATGGCATTTGCAAATTTTTTAACTTCAACTGATGGTTCGTCTACAAATATTAATGAAAGTTTACACTTTGAGCTCTTTTTATTCTAGATTATATACAATATACATACATACATAATATATATATATATATATATATATATACAGGGGGATTTTTTTATCATGAACCACTCATTATTTCAAAAAGTATCAATGTTTTTTAAAATATTTTTTTACAAAGTTTCAT